TTTGTTTTACTTTATTTTTAAATTTATGTTTATTTTACATGTTTCTTCTAAAGGTCATGGACCCTAGCTTATAAATAGGTGTGTTCCCTTCATTGTAATCAAGTTATGAAGTTTAGAATTTGAGTGTTTCCCTTTGTGTGGTAGAACTTCGGCTTTCGTATTTTACCTATCGGAACATGCTTGTTTGATTGGTTATCAAACTCGTGGAGTGTTTCCGACTTTTAGCATAGTGAGTATTCTGTCTACTCAAGTTAACGACTGCAAATGTAATCCATTTAACCCTTAGCTTTTTGGGTTAAAATCATCTATACGATTGGATTTAAGTGGCTTGTGGTTCAAGTAGTCCAATACACTTAGGTTGTCGCGTATCACAAATAATAGGAGAAAGAAATTAAAAAATGAGATAATTTTACGTTTTTTGATAATTTTACATTTTTTGATAATTTTACGTTTTTTCCTTTAATAAAGAACTATCAAATCTTTATTAGTAGTGATCACGAAATAACTGCTAAGGGCCCGTTTGATACCATTTTAGTTTTTGGTTTTTGGTTTTTCTCGTTTTTAGTTTTTGCTTTTTGGTTTTCTGTTTTTAGAAAACAAAAACCATACATGTTTGATAACCATTTTTAGTTTTTTGTTTTTAAAAAGTTCGAAAATTGAAAATAAGAGAGAAAATTTTATGTAGAGTAGAGATGATAATGGTGTGGGTGCGAGTGAGGATGCTCTCCCCCATTCTCATACTTATGAAAATTTTTAGTCTCCGTCTCCATCTCGGACTCCTTGGGTCCGAGAGATGTTCTCAAGAAAAATTATCGGTTTTATAATTGTTTTTAAGTATTTTTAGAATTTAAGTATAAAAAAAGTGTAATAAATATATATTAATTATTTAAAAAAATGGAATTGGGGATGGGGACGGGGTCGGGACATGCATCTCCTATTTTTGGGAAATTTTTGTCTCCCCCATGAAAATACAAGTTTAGAGAGAGGTAAATAAACTTTTTGAAAATAAATTTTAGAGAGATGAATATAAAGATTTAGAAAAAAAAACTGTGAAAGAAAAGTTAAAGACAAAAAGAGAAAAATTGAAGAGAAAAAAAATAAAGTCGAGAGGAAAAGATATGTTAAAGAGAAAAAAAAAGAAATTATAAAGAAAGAGAAAAATTATAGTGGAAATAAATTTAGAGATAATAACACGATTCAAAATATAATTTTTAGAGAAAATAAATAAATACAAACATAAATAAAAGTTACAGTGAAAGAAAATTGAACGAGAAAATAAAATATAATTTACAGAGAAAAAAAAAAGAAGAAAGAAAAATTATAAAAGATGAAATTTTAGAGAGAAAAAAATTATGAAAAATATTAAATTTTTAGAGAGAGAAATGAAACTGATCTGTTGGAAAAAAACAAAAACACAGAAAAATTTGGAGAGAGACAAGTAAAGTTTGTAGAGAGAAATTTAAAAATAAAAAAAGTTTGGAGTGAGAAATAAATTTTTTAAAGATAAATATGAGAAAGAAAAAAAAAGTTGAGTATTAAAAAAAAAATCAGGTTTTGAAAAAAAAAGACCTACTTTTGAAAACTACTTTTTTTGTTTTTGAAATTTACGTAGAATTTCAAAATGGTTTTTGAAAAACAAAAAACAAAAAATTGAATTGATTATTAAACAACCCTGTTTTTGAAAAACCAAAAACCAAACACCAAAAACAAAATGGTTATCGGACGTGCCTAAATGATCCACACTTAAATATTTTCATAACAAAGTTGAATTGAAAAAGGAGAGTTACCCATATATATATATATATATATATATTACTGTCAGTAAAACAAAAAAGGTAAAAGAAAGATCAAGGGACTCGCTCGTTTTTCTCATACCGTAGATGTCATACCAATACCACTACCTGCTGGTAAAATGTAAAATCAAGAATCCAGCTGCTTGTTTTTTTGATATAACTGCAAATATTTAAAAGGTAATCAAGTTTTATTGTGCATGTGAATATATATTTGTTTCCTTCTAGGTGTGAGGAGTTTCTCTTCATCAATTCCCATTTATATCAACAGTCGCTTTTGAGGGAATCAAATTTCGACTTATTTCAAAAGAGTGACGTTTAAGTGAAAATAATTAACCCATCTAATATAATTTGGAAAACTATCGCGACCGTTGTATTATTTCCAACAAAATAATAATAATAATGTCAATTCAAGCTTTAATCTAGTTGATAAAACATCTATTACTATCTTAAAAATTGATGGTGCGATGTCATTGTTGAACTGATGATTAGAAAATGATATAGTAATAATAAAATTATTAATAGTAAATAAAATAATTATTTGAGAATGAAAAAAAATAAATTAACTTTGTCGTTTCACTTTCTTTTTCTGTTTTTTTTATCTACTTATTAAAAAATCCTTAATTAAATTTTAAAAACTAAAAAATTTCAAAAGGTTTCGTACAAAAGATTACAAAAGAATAAGATAAATTTTCAGTTTTAAAATGATAAAAAAGAAATACAAATTCTAATTGTTTTTTTTAATCGGCTAAAGTTTATATACTAACTACATCTAAAATGCTTCAAATGAAATTAAAAAATAATAATAAAAATTCTAAAACTTATAGTGTTTTGAGGTAAATTATGTATTACCATTTCAAAAGTCAATGATAGTTCTATCTCATGTCCCACCATTTCTAGACTAAAAACTTAAAAAAATTTAGGATACTAATATTTGTATTCTTTCTACTTGAATATGAAATATATTACATTATGAACGAATTAGATCATCTGACTATTTGAACTTACCATCCATAAAACGAGGCATATGATCACTTAACCATGCTGAGGTGGGCACAAAAGTGATATATATATATATATATATATTTCTTTTTTTTTTTTTTGACATCACCAAAGCGAGATATTGAACTATAGTAAATATAAATTTTGGTACAAATTTGAGATGGGCTGACAAGACCCGAGAAAAAAAAGAGAGAAAAAGAAAGAAAGAAAACAGTTGATATTATATGTGTTGAGTTGAGAATTGCGGTATAATAGTCCAAAAAGCCACCCGTTAAATAATCGAGTTCTTTTTTTTTTCTTTTATTTTTGAGCGGGTTTAATTCTCTTTTTTTTATTATTATTATTTTATTATTTTTTTAATTAGTGATAGAATCCAGGCCATTGTCAAAATATATTCCCATGCATCACATTTATTTCCTCTTCGTCCCATCTAACGGGCCATGAAAGCGCAATCCCTACCCCATCACCTTTTTTCTTGTTGCGGTGGTTGTGGATGCCTCAAGAGAGAGAATTTCAACACCAAAAAGATAAAGTTCATTTTCTCTCATTGGATATCAATTAAATCCATATAAATTTCCTAAATCTTCCAAAATATCCCCAATAATGCTTAATATTGATAGGCGTGGATGATCGAACCATCAAACTTTGAGATGGTAAAAGTAGTATTGTATCCATTAAACTATGTACATATTGATAGTGGCATATTGATATCAATCTATGAGTATTGTAGAGAGAGACGATGATTTTGGCATCTAAAAAATTAGTGTATATCATCATATAAAATACACTCGCATATCAACATTTATGGAGTGTTATCTCAAAATCAATTGGCAATTAGAGAAGCAGATCACTCCTAACATGTCTCGTAGATGTTGCATCTTTTGGGTTCACAATTCTTGACCAAATCTTATTTTTTTACTGAATACTCGTTTATCATAATTCATTGGGTTCAATTTCAAAATCAATTAACAATAAAAGGAGTGACCCACTTCTTAACATCACGTAGGCAATAATTTAATTTACAACACAATTCATATTCTCTGTGACATCTTCAATTATATCTACATACTGTTGATCAAGCATAACTCAGTAGATATCATAAGTCGTGTATTGCTAATTTGAAGGTCAATAGTTTGGTCTCTACCCGTATCGGGTCGAATTAAAAAATTAAAATTAGAATGAAATATAAATTATAGGAGTAAGATAGTAATTTAATCAAGGGGGAGAGAGAAGGAAAAAAGGTCAGTGGTTGTTTGAGAGGTGGTTTTCCAAGGAGATATTAAGGTCGAGGGTCGTAGTTTTAGATGTGGGCATGCGCCCTTACACTCTGGTACCCACAAATTCCGTGTGTGGGGCCCATTCCTCTTATAATCATATACACTGGGGCCCACCCCTCCTCCCTTTTCCCCTTTCCTTTCCTTTCCCCATCTTTCTAGGTAGCTGGCTCTTCTCCAGGCATAGTAAAAAAACTAACCCACCACTCTGCTTTTCTTTTCTTTTTTTTTTCCCCTTTTTTTCTTTTAATCCCTAAAGAAAAAAATATTAAAAAAAAAATCATGATTTTGGGTGGCACAAAACTTATGTTATTACGTGCTGAGTAGCTAATTTTTTTTAGAATCGCTATTAAATGTTTCGCAACTAAAAAAAATATGAAAAAAATAGAGGTTATTTTTTAAAAAAGTAAATAAATAATGAGGTGTCAATTTTTGAATAGAAATGAGGATAATGGTTGGTTCTCGTTGGAAATGAACTAAGTATTTGCCATTAGAAAATTGACAATTAAGAGATGAATACATAAAGGAAAAGATTAAAAAAATAAAATAAACCGCTGTCAAGTTTTGAATGGCGGTAAGATAGGAACATATAAACACCTTTTTTTAGTTGTCTTGGCCATAAAAACTACAAACTTAAGCATGTTTGGATTTGGTGAACACTCTTCACTCTCTCATCCAATCCAAGTCAACCAAGTGGTAGGAGAATGTCAAGACCACGAGGTGCCGAATGAAGATTCAAAATTTTGGTCCAAATTCTAGAAATGAGGTATGACTAGCTACTCATCGATGAGTACCTAAATTTTATTTTATTTTTTTATTTTTTAATTTGGGGCGACAACTACTTGGGGTGGCCCTCTCCCCATCAAAAATCCTAGCTAGTATATATTCCACGTCCTTCCTCCCGTAGTGTTCCAAAACAAAAAAATATCCCCACACAAATTTTGATGTGTGAATGCAGCAAAAGATGAGCATCTCCGTAAATGGGCAGTCCCAAGTCCCGCCGGGGTTCCGTTTCCACCCCACCGAAGAGGAGCTCCTCCACTACTACCTCCGCAAGAAGGTCTCCTTCCACACCATTGATTTGGACGTCATTCGCGACGTCGATCTCAACAAGCTTGAGCCATGGGACATCCAAGGTCCGATCCTTTTCATTTTCTTGTTGATCTCGATCGGTCTTTTTCTCAATTTTCATTACAAATCTTTCGTCTCTGTTTCTGCAGAGAAATGCAAGATTGGAAGCACCCCGCAGAATGACTGGTACTTCTTCAGCCACAAAGATAAGAAGTACCCTACCGGAACTCGCACCAATCGGGCCACCGCCGCCGGTTTCTGGAAGGCCACCGGCCGCGATAAAGTCATCTACAGCAACTGCCGCCGCATCGGAATGAGGAAGACACTTGTGTTTTACAAAGGTCGCGCCCCTCACGGCCAGAAGTCTGATTGGATCATGCACGAATATCGCCTCGACGAAAACTCCACCTCTCACTACCAACAACAAAATAATATTCATGTATATATATCTTCCTTTATTACCATTGATTCCCAAACTTTTTCCTCGTTTTTTTTGGTCTAAAACTTTTTACTTTTTTCGTTTAGATGAAGGGTTCGGCGAGTAGTGTTGTGATGGGAGACGGGGGGCAGGAAGAGGGGTGGGTGGTGTGCAGAATATTCAAGAAGAAAAATCACCACAAAACCCTAGACAGAGACACTCCCATTCCCATTACCACTACT